AGATCCTGAGCCTGTGTTATTTAGAAATTTTTCCATGTTTCTATGTGGTGATTAAAGACTATTTGAGATTTTTTTTAAAAGTGCACTAATTTTCACTGAGTCACATGATTTTCAGAGCCCAGAGTATGCTGGAGGTAAACCTGGGTTTTTTGCCTCCATCTGGGACTGGAAATGTATCTAGACATCGGATTGAGGTCCCTGAGGCTTCTTTTTCTGGGGTACCTGAAGTCTGTGCTGGATAAAATAGTGAGATGCTATTCAAGCCGCAGTTCTGAGATTTTCCATTCTTTACAGCTTGTATTAGCATGGAAAATATTTTTGTCCACAGCCAAACTATGATTCCGTGATGTAGCTGAACCTGCTCATTTTAAAGGGGGTTGGAACTAAAGTAGCTGTAAGGGATCTCTTCCTCCCAAAATATTCTCTGGTTCTATTGACCATAGTGGTAGGCAGGAACCTCCTTCACCAAGTGCTGGGCATCACCAGGGACTGAATTTCCCTCATATCCCTACCCAGGTCAGTTCCCAATTCTTTTTTGAATATTGGCTTTGTGTTGAGTGCTGACACAAACACCACCTGACAGGAAAACTCTGCTTTGTCTCTGGGGAAGGAAAGGCAGAAGTCCGAGAATAAAAGTAGCAGCAACACGTTTCATCTGGTAACAGCATTTGAAAATCTTTCTTGTTCCACCTGTGACTCTGTCTCAGCAGAAACATGCATTTCTCCTCAAGACAGAAGTGTTGGATGCAAAAGGCCTGAGGGAGCACAGCTTCCAAGGGTTAATAGTCTGCTTTTTTTTCCACAAGTCTTTGAGTTCTCATTTGGCTACTAGTGCAAAAATCAGGCATTACTTGTCCCACATGTCCCTTAAGAATTCATAGAGAATAAGATGATGGGAATTGCCCAACAGGCCATCACTTCTCCAGCTGGTCCCAGTAAATCCTAAAGGTACACACCTGAAATTCATAGTTTGGAACAGGTAATTTTTGATGGACCCTCTGCAATTTAGCACATTACTGTGTGCTGTAATGTCCAGGACCTTTGGTGTGTCCACTCTGCAACTCTGTGAAGCCCTGGGAGAAGCATCAGCCATGAGGATTCTATTCCTGCTCTTCCCCCTGTTCCTCCTGCTGGTCCACAGTGCTGCAGGTAAGAGGGGAAGAGGGAGAAGTGCAGTCACACACTCCTCTCCCAGACTATTGTTTTAACTCTGCTTGTGCATGACTTTCCATGGCAGCAGGAAAACATGACAAGTGCATCCGACGAGGAGGATTTTGTGCTGTGGGGGGCTGTCGTTTCCCCTATAAATACGTGGGACTTTGTTCAGCCCTGAGTCACTGCTGCAAACCGTAAGTTCTGGAAATTGTTTGCTCCTGGTCGTGGATAAAGTTATTATTGTCTTTCAAGCCAGTTCCTCCTTTACACCCTCGTACCTTCACACACAGAGGAAAAAGGGAAAGAAAGGAAAAGTCCTTTTGGGTTTGAACCTGCTCTGAGTAGGACTGAAGTAGCCCCAGGTCAATGAGTTGTACCCGACACTCTTCTAGCCCCTCAAGGTTTGCTTACTGTCAATGCACAGAGCTCGGCTCTGCTGCCCAAATGAGAAGGCTGTCCCTGGAATAGTATCAGGCATGGAATTCCCTTCCTGAAATGTGTAACAGCTGGAGTTGACCTCTGCAGGCAGAGTGTTATTTCCCAGTGCTTCTTTTCATTGCAGGGGAATGGGGCAAAGAAGGATAAGAAAAGTTAGACAGGTTATATATTTGTTTCCTCTCTTCTTACAGTATTTGGGGATGAAAATGTGAAATTCCCAAGGAGGACATGCCCCTCGCTTCTGGCTCCTGATGTCCCCATCTGCTGATGTCCCCATCT